GTTTGACTACCTCAGCAACTTCTGCCCCCGAGATCGGACAGTCCATCCCCAGGCCTCCCAGCTCTGGTTCCTCCTCGGAATGCGCATTGGTGGGATTGAGGAGCTCCTCAAAGTATTCCTTCCACCGTCCGACTATAGCCTCAGTTGACGTCAGCAGCTCCCCATCCCCACTGTAAACAGTGTGAGCGAGTTGCTGCCTTCCTCTCCTGAGGCGCCGGACAGTTTGCCAGAACCTCTTTGGAGCCGATCGATAGTCTTTCTCCATGGCCTCACCAAACTCCTCCCACGCCCGAGATTTTGCCTCGGCAACTGCCACTGCTGCACCCCGCTTAAAAAATATATATACAAGACAAAAATGAGATAAACAATTAGACATAAAGACAACAAACTGTTCTCATTTACAATATGTGCAAGTACTCAGAAGCACATTGATCAGAAACTATTGATTGTAATGAATTATTGAAGGTACATAATGGAATGTCGGCAGTGAGCTTCTGTGACTTTGCAGCTGTTGTGACTATTGGTCAAACAAATAATCTGTAAGCTTTTACTTACTTTTTGGATTCATCAATAAATTCGTAAATACGGAAATATTTACCGATTTATTAATTAATTTGGATATTAGAATATCCACGGGGCACCACCCCTTTTAACAGGGGAAAAATTTAATCCAAACCTCTTATCAATCTTGTCTAAACGTTCCGTGAATCTTAACGAGCTGCAGTTAATTAATTCATATCACACAAACAAACTCAATCTGAGACTAAATCTTAATTGGCAATACATTTATTAACTGAATTAATCACTTCAGCTCCTTCTGAAGCGTTCAGCCAAACAATATTAACAAACTTATTTTATCAAATGAATAACAAGTAATTAAACAATGAAATAATACAGTAAAACAATCTGACCCAATGGATGTGTGTTTTAGTCTTGTCCCCCCAAACAGGGAAAACCAGAATGTGTGTGCGTGTGTGTGTGTGTGTGTGTGGGTGGGCAACTTGCACTTTAAACTTCCGAAGCACGTTCAATCACAGTAAACTTAAAACTAAACTTCAAAAACTGCTTCACAAAAATCAAGAAACAACACAAAAGATCAATCATAAATAATATCTGATGGTTTGTCAGCCTGGCCACGGCATAAAAACTATTTAAGATATTAAACTGAAAGAAAAGACCTTACTTAAGTTGTCCGATGGCGTTTTTGGTATGGAAGACAGGAAAGCCATTGGTATTTTAAAGCAAATCGCGCAGTGTGATTGCTTATTTTGAACTATAGGAGAAATGGAAGAAGAAGTTAGAGAAAGAAAAACTTTGAACGAACGAAACAGTGAGGCGTCTTTCAGATGTTCCAATCGGCGTTCTCCATTGATTTGACGGTTTTCCGCTGCTCGGCGTTTCCACTTCAGCCCCCAGGCCTCGCGCACAATCTGTCCGTAGCCGTAGCCAACGGGTGCGTCTTTCAACGCCAGTTGAACTGGACAAAAGATAAGATAAGTTTCGTTTGTCTCCCTTTTATAGACTCGGCGGTCCAGCGGGAAGACTCCGTGTGGCTCCAGCACATGCGCAGAGCTTGTTTCCAGTATACGACGCCGCTTCCGGGAGCAGGGAATCCTGGGAAATGAAGTTGTAGCTGGCGCTGGAATATATTCTGCTTTTCAGAGCGCAGATGACACAGTCTTTTGGAGAAAATACTGAGTAGCAATTTCTCATGAGGGCAGACCCTCAACACAGCTCATTCCAGTCATTGGAAGCAGCAAAATGGAAAGAGGAGCAGCCAAAGGTGGTGCAAGCTTTGGGAATAACCGTAGTGATTAAGTTACTAGAATGTAAATTGTGTTGGTTGTTGGAAGTGACGAGTGAAGATATGATGGGGTTCTACCGATGGCCAGTTAACGAGTGAGTACAGATCACAATGATGAGTAGTGAAAGGGGTACCAGTGACCAAACGGATTTCTGAGTGATAAATTACATCGAGTTTATGAAGAAGTTTTTTGAAAGCAGTCCTATAAATGAAGTCACCGTAATCTAAGATGGGAAGGATTGTCATTTTGACCAAGGCTTGCTTTGCAGAATGAGTAAAGGATGACCTGTTGCAGTATAGAAACCCGATTCTTGACTTGACTTTAGAAAGTAATGAATTAATGTGAATGTCAAATGACAGCACATATCCAGATAATTACAAAAATGGACAAGTTGAAGTTCTGTACCATCCAGTGAAACAATACTAGGGTGGCAAGTTGATTGCGGTAAGTTACGGTTGAAGATCATGAACTTTGTTTTACTTGTACAGGTGCTGGCCAGTAAATTAGAATATCATCAAAAGGTTGAAAATATTTCAGTAATTCCATTCAAAACGTGAAACTTGTACATTATATTCATGCAATGCACACAGACCAATGTATTTCCAATGTTTATTACGTTTAATTTTGATATTTATAGGTGACAACCAATGAAAACATCAAATCTGGTATCTCAGAAAATTAGAATATTCTAAAGGCCAATGAAAAAATGTTTGTTTCTCTAATGTTGGCCAACTGAAAAGAATGAACATGAAAAGAATGTGCATGTATAGCACTCAATACTTAGTCGGGGCTCCTTTTGCCTCAATAACTGCAGTAATGCGGCGTGGCATGGACTCGATCAGTCTGTGGCACTGCTCAGGTGTTATGAGAGCCCAGGTTGCTCTGATAGTCGTCTTCAGCTCCTCTGCATTGTTGGGTCTAGCGTATTGCATCCTCCGCTTCACAATACCCCATAGATTTTCTATGGGGTTAAGGTCAGGCGAGTTTGCTGGCCAATCAAGGACAGGGATACCATGGTCCTTGAACCAGGTGCTGGTGGTTTTGGCACTGTGTGCAGGTGCCAAGTCCTGTTGAAAGGTGAAGTCTGCATCCCCATAAAGTTGGTCAGCAGCAGGAAGCATGAAGTGCTCTAAAACTTCCTGGTAGACGGCTGCATTGACCCTGGACCTCAGGAAACAGAGTGGGCCAACACCGGCAGATGACATGGCACCCCACACCATCACTGACGGTGGAAACTTTACACTGGACCTCATGCAACGTGGATTCTGTGTTTCTCCGCTCTTCCTCCAGACTCTGGGTCCTTGATTTCCAAAGGAAATGCAGAACTTGCTTTCATCAGAAAACATAACTTTGGACCACTCAGCATCAGTCCAGTCCTTTTTGTCCTTGGCCCAGGCGAGACGCTTCTTGCGCTGTTTCTTGTTCAAGAGTGGCTTGACACACGGAATGCGACACCTGAATCCCATGTCTTTCATGAGTCTCCTCGTGGTGGTTCTTGAAGCGCTGACTCCAGCTGCAGTCCACTCTTTGTGGATCTCCCCCACATTTTTGAATGGGTTTGTCGTCACAATTCTCTGCAGGGTGCGGTTATCCCTAGAGCTTGTACACTTTTTTCTACCACATTTTTTCCGTCCCTTCGCCTGTCTGTTAATGTGCTTGGACACAGAGCTCTGCGAACAGCCAGCTTCTTTAGCAATCACCTTTTGTGTCTTGCCCTCCTTGTGCAAGGTGTCAATGATTGTCTTTTGGACAGCTGTTAAGTCAGAAGTCTTCCCCATGATTGTGGTGCCTTCAAAACAAGACTGAGGGACCTTTTAAAGGCCTTTGCAGGTGTTTTGAGTAAATCAGCTGATTAGAGTAGCAGCAGGTGTCTTCTATATTCAGCCTTTTCAGAATATTCTAATTTTTTGAGATACCAAATTTGGAGTTTTCATTAGTTGTCACTTATGAATATCAAATTTAAATGTAATGAACATTGGAAATACATTGGTCTGTGTGCATTGCATGAATATAATGTACAAGTTTCACGTTTTGAATGGAATTACTGAAATATTTTCAACCTTTTGATGATATTCTAATTTACTGGCCAGCACCTGTATTTAAAAGAAGATGAAGGTTGGAGAAGGCACGACGAAGGCAATTAAGACAAAGTTATGCAGCAAGGAGGACAAAGCTGCATTCAGAGAACTGCATGCATATAAAATATTGTCATCTATTCTGCATATAAATGTATAATAGAACTGTCAACAGCATGAACAATGTTAGTAATATAGAGTTTGAATAAGGTTGAGCCCAGTATCGACCCCTGAGGAATGCCCACAGAGGTAGAGGAGCAGATTGGTCACCCTTTGCTCTCACTGTTTGTGTACGGCCTAAGATATAACTTCTAAGCCATGTCACGGATGCCTGAGAAAGTCTTAGATGTTTGAGCTTGCTCAGTAAGAGGTTATGATCCACCGACATCATCATGCTCATCAATTAATACACGTCATTCTCTCAAGACGCCACTCAGTCATCTTTTCGTTCAGGTTCATGCCAAGAGTACTCGGCTTCCACGCATCCAACCAGCCTACTTCTGACAAATAAGCCAGTTTCTCTTTATTCTCTGGAGCAGCACTACAATCTCATTTACTTCAATTCAAAAATACTTTATTAATCCCAGAGGGAAATTGATTGCTGTAGTAGCTCAGAATAATAATAATAATCAAAGAGTTGTTGTATATTACAATGGCTGTTGGCAGGAAGGATCTCCAGTAGCGGTCAGTGTTGCAGCGAAACTGAAGAAGTCTCTGACTGAAGACACTCTTCCGTTGTCGGACAGTCTTGTGAAGAGAATGCTCAGGGTTGTCCATCATTTTCTTGATTCTCTGGAGAATCCTTCTTTGCATTATCTCCTCCAGTGGTTCCACAGTCGTCCCCAGAACAGAACCAGCCTTTATTAGGCTGTTGAGCCTTTTCAGGTCCCTGCTTCTGATGCTACTACCCCAACAGGAGGACACTTAGAATTGAACTGAGTTTATTTCACGCTAGTTTGACCTTTTACTTAGAATTACTGAAATAAATAAATGTTTGCACCATATTTATATTTTTTGAGTTTTACCTGTACTTGCAGTTTTAACTGAGTAAATTTATACAGAAATAGAAACTAACTTAAAATAATGTGTGATCTGTTTGAAGACAAGAAAAGGAGGACACTTTTAGAATTGAACTGAGTTTATTACCTAAGAAAGTACTGGAAGTGTTAAATGTAGAAGAGTCTTTATGGATCCAAACAACAACAGCATTCTCAAAAGAACTTAATAAAACAAACATTTGACAGAAATGTAACCTGGACAGCAAGAGTGAAGATAAACTCTCAATGTCTCCTGTGGTAACAGTGTTGTACCTGAAAAAAACAGGCCCAGATCCATAAACTACATCCTCAGCTTATCTTCTATTTACCAAACTATCATGTAAAAAAAAAGAAGAAAAACCTAAGTTCATTCAGCAGTTACACACACACTCAGACTTTTCTCTCATCAGTTTAAGTACAATTATGAGTATCTCTCTACATTCAGTCTTTTGAAACAGATTAAATTATTACAATGAAATTTAACAAAATATATGTACTCAAAACTCACATTTAGGAACAAACCTCCTGAAATCTGTTTATATGCAATAACACTGAATCAGGAAAACAGGGTCAACAGAGAGACAGGTGGCGCTGCAGGGCCCAACTCAACACACATGGCTGCTCATTAAAGGGCACTTTGCTTCAGATCTATAACACTGGTGGTTCAGTCTACAGCACATGGGAAGACTATAGAGTTAACACCACCCACAGAATACACACAGGGTGTCAGAAACATGGCAGGTTAAGGAAGACATGATTAACCTTTAGAGGTTAGGTTTGTCTCAGTAGGAATAGAAATCCTACATGAAGGCTCAGCTACAAGGCGTCGTTGATCTGAGCAGAACTTATTAACCAGGTGGAAGAAAATGTGTCTACTCAGCATAGTATTCAGACGCTGCTGAACTGAAAACCATATTCTAAGAGTTTTTTTCTGTTACACTTTTAAATAATCAACATCTTACTCACTGTAAACAACATCCTGAACAGCCTCAGTTTGAAGAAAGAGTTTTTTTGTCCTACAGGACACATGAGCTAAGCTTTAGGCTCTACTCTAATTTCAACCATCTCACCTTCTGCAAACCTAATGGCACTAATTTTACCTATCGCCAACAGAAATGAAATATTGTGATACTATAAAAGATAGAAGATGTGTGCATGTATTTAGCTTTAGCATTTTAAATGTTTGTAAATAATGGGTTTAATTTGTAGTCTTTATAGTGACATGGTACAAGGTATTACTCCAATGTAATCAAACAGGCAGAAAATAATTAAATTCACCACACAGATAAAATGAGGTGTTTCAGTCAATTTCAGAGGTTTGAATCTTCAAGCGGCTGGAGAAAGGGAAGTCTGGGTCTCCCTGCTTAGGCTACTGCCCCCGCGACCTGACCACGGATAAGTGGCCAAAATGGATGGATGTTTGAATCTTCATCTTCAACTGAAAATTTTTCCCCATTCAAACCCCTGAAACACTCCAATCATGGATCTAATCAGGTCCTTTAACCTCTCATGGGTTCAGTTATTCTGAGTGGAAATCTGTTTTTGATCAGTTTGATTTTCTTTGTAACAGTTTTATTGACGGTTGAGGTTAAAATACTGTGTAAGGTCCCTAAAGACCACGAACCACTAAAGGTGTTTTGGTCAATTAAAAGAAGACATTGTGCTTAGGCTTCTGCCCCCGCGACCTAAAGGGGCACAAAAGGCCCGACACAGATGACTCATCCTAAATGTTTCATGAGAGTGATCAGAAACACCTCTCCACAGACTTGTATAGAGTAAGAGATGCGTTTACACCCACACCTACTAACAAATGTAGTTTTTAGTGAGAAAAACTTTGTAAAATTTCTTTTTAAAATGGATCTTTTTCAACTCAACAGGAAGGAATCATTTCTAAGTTTTAACAGCCTTTTTGGGCTGGTCTACTTTCATTTCATGCCTTAAAAACAAAACTAATGAACTATTTTCACTATTTTTACTCATCTGACTCCCTAAAACTTTGATAACTTAAATGGTAACGATAAAAAATGGTTATTGGGAAAGAGCTATGGGAAAATCTAGAGATTTTGAGAATGTTCTTTCTCTATATTTTGATGAGTCGTTAATGTTCAAGCATCCAGAAAAGCAGCATTTTTATTTAAGTGATTTTGTTACCGATACGGACAAATACGGTCATAAAAATAAATAAATATTCCAGGCGTTGATCATGTTTATTTAAAGAAACCATGTATAGCTTCTCTAAGCAGGGGTTTTGCTACATGCTAAATTAAACGTAGGCAGCATCATGTTTGCAGGATTAAGATTATTATTAAAAGGTTGTTATAGGTGAAGTCACTGGACGGATAAATATTAAGAGTTTATTTATTAGTGATTCAGTAGAAAATCTAAATAATTCACTAATAAAATTTAATATGGAGCTGAAGCTATTTAATGTCTTTAATTAAGGGTTCACCTACTTTTCTACCCTTTTTAATCAAATGTGAACTGCCCTGATTGATCTGTATGTTATCAGATACGTAAGACTGAATATGTCTGCTCTTCTTAAGATGATGATGTGACCACATTTTTTCCAGGAGGTTCACACCTTCTCTCCTCCATCTCTATTTCTATAAACATATGTACACAAACATAAACATAACCGCTGGACATGAAGGAATGAGGATGGAGAAAGGAAGTGTGAGCAGTAAATCTAACAAAATAAAGTCAAAAATTCACTCCAGTATCGTCCAAAAACTACACTCCAGCCACAGATTATTTATCAGCAAAAACTAGGAAGGGAATTTTAAATAATCTGTGTGGATTTAACCATTTTGTGTTTTTGAAACGAGGACCTGTGCTACCCATGAGCCTCTTCTTCTGTGGAGCTCTCCTGGGCTCTGCTGCCACCTGTGAACCCGACCAATGAGAGGAGAGCTTGGGTGAGTGAGGGCCAAGGCAAACACACCTACACACACCTACACACACAAACCTGCACGCACATACATTCCACCAGTGATGAAAAAAGAGAAACAGAAAAGTAATCCCTCCTGATTTAACGTCCTGTTAGTAAAAAGTAACAAAGCTGAAAAGAAATGAATCTTTTCGCCAACATATCATCACTCTCTGTTCCATCTTTTCTGTGGTTTTCCAGCTCACAGCTGTGATGAGATGGTCCACTGGACCAACATATTGGAGTTTAGTGCCTTAAATGTGGTTTCCTGCTCGACATGAAAATAAAATGTTGGTTTAAAAAAAAGCTAAATGACCTTGCTTCTCAACTTATTTAAAACATAAACACATCAGCATCTGATTCTGGCTGATTTCTAAGTTTTTAATAAAACTATATGAAGTATTTGTCTGCTGCAGATATCAGTTAACTGTGCTTATGGGTTTAGAGCTGTCACAATACGGACTACTTTTAGTTTAGGGAGTAAAATGTTTGAGGAACAAAAACATCAAGCTCTCCCAATTCAGAATCTTTAATTACAGAATATTTCCTCAAAAGCTGTTGTCAGTAATTATGGCTCCAAAAGGATTTGCATGAAAACTGCTGATCAGATAAAGTGCTCGAGTTAAAGAAAGTCAATCACACAGTGTCAGTGGCCACAAAACATTAGTGCGGAAAAAAATCTATCAACCGGTTGGAGTACTTTTACCATTTGCAATATTACAAATATATTGATTTTTGTATTATTTTCAGGTTTCTATCTAATTTTTTACACATTTCTGCCGTCCTCGAACGGTTCTGCGTCTGGCTGTGGTGGT